TTCATTTTTCATCATTTTCCTTTTTGCTTTGTTCTGTAGAGGTCATTGAAAGAAATTGACTCGTACAAATATGTTTGAAAATCTAGCGACCAGCATAATGCCATCAAATCTTTTAAATTTGATTATAGAACAAATTCAAAAAGAAAAATAAATTGCGAAAAAAAGTAATAGAGCATGTTCAAATTAACCGACTTGGTAAGGATCGAAGGGAACAAAAAATCTTTCTTTTGTTAGTAAATAGACAATATTATATATTGAGAAAAATTCGAACAAAGTTTCTAGGTTTTTTCAATGTTTTAATCAAAGGACTCAATATTCTGTAAATCAAATCCATCTCAAAAAAATCAATATATTGATTAGATACAATCACAAACTTTGCAGAACACCGTAAATTCAAATCGTTTTTCTACCGTATATACAACATCATCTACCCAAGCTTAAAATATAGATATATCAACAATATCACTACCAAGACCACTGCAGCTGCTACAACGACAGCTAACAAAAAGCTACGGTCGGTAGAAGGAGGCGGTTCGACTGCATGCCGCTTGTGGTGATTAATTCGGGACAAAACATCCTTGTCGACTTTTAGGCTAAAAGGCGAGGGCAAAGGATCGTCATCTGGGGATCTAAACCGGGTCTTTGATTATAAAACATAGATATTGGTAATAGAAATCGTACGTGATGACTATCCGAGGTGAATCGGGGACGAGTTTTGTCGAGGTCGAAGGAATGAGGTAATCATTCATACCATTGGCAAGGGAGCCATTCGACTCCACGGATTGTCGTGCTGATCGGGCACTAAAAATTGCTTTCTGCTTAGAACCGTCACGAACTGTTTACAGATGTATGTGAAGAACTTACGGTACCTTTTTATAAACTCCTTACTTATCGTATCCCGTGGAATATCGTAACCTGTATGAGTTTCAACACCTATGCGCTTAGGTGGCGGAATTGCAGTGTCGATGTTCATCTGTAAGCAGACGTACAGTGAGCTCTGGTAAGATGCCAATGTGTTACTGGCATGGTCTCACGGTTCAAGTGCAAAACCAACAAAACGCGCGAGAAATTCGCAAAAGAAAATAAA